AATCAGGGGGGTGGGGTTAGGAAAAATTTTTGTCGCTTCATGTTCCAGTGGTAATGGTGCAAGACATAACTCATGAAAAACCCCGAAATAATGATTTTCTTTTTTTCTTGGTTTTCCTGCGGTTTATAAGGAAAAATGATAAAATATGCATATCATGGAAAATTCAACCCCAACTTTTTTATAAAGTAAATGATGGTAAAGGGTTCAGCGTTGACTATTCGTTTAAAATCTGGCAGAGTTTCAAGATCAGAGAGAATTTTCGTACACAAGAATCTTCTCGTTTCACTGGTTCTTGGACAAGTGGTTTATATAATTGACATCAAGATCCTCACATCGATGAAAAAGCACCAAGTGAGTACACAAAGTAGATAAGTAGTTTAAAGATTTGTCTTCCACCAATTGGAACCCAATTTGATCCAATCCACCGTTTTTCTCCCCCAGATCATGTGCTCCATCTATGCTGTCATTCAGCACTATCTGCACACTTCTCTTTACACCTGGATGTTGGTTGAAGGAATAAACCTTTATTTGAAGATGGTGAAGGTTTTCTCTTTTGGAAAGCCATATTTGATATACGCCTTGCTGGGATGGGGTAAAGTAGAGGTCATATTAATTGTTTTTCTTTGAAAAAAACTGTGATCCCATTCCTTCCCTTAAAAGAGGTGTCTCCGAAACTTGCCTTGCCCGCAACTTGGGGCTTCGTCGCTCAGTTGCAGGGAGTGAACAAGTAGTATCAGGGAGACGGGTTCTATTCCCCTGGAAGGCCTCTTTCCTGCACTTGTTAACTGGGTGTAGGTCATCTGCGAAGATTATTGCTTTACTTGATTTCCACAGAAAGATGCATTTCTTGGAAATTGTAATAGCTTGTCTCTTTATGTGAACAGGTATCCCAGGAGCGATTGTTGGTTTAGTGGCAGCAATCCAGCCGTCAACCTACGACTTAAGTACAAGTCTGTACAAAGAAGTCAACTGTGGAGCACTCAAATTCACGGGTACAGTGGACAGAGAAAGGTAAAAATTCATGAAATCTACATAGTAGTTAATGCACTTAATGCAAAAAGCCGCCTTGCTCCCATAAACTTAACTGAAATGGTGCTGTTGGTAATGATTTCAGATGCTGGCTCAACGGAAGCGTTTGGAAATTCAAAGGCCCTGTCTTACTCATCCTTTTGGTAACATTAATTTACTACTTTTTATCACTATTAATTTTTGACCGAGGCGTTTTTTTTTTTCGCCGCACTGATGAATTTACTCTGCTTTAACTGAAATTCAATTTGGAACGAATCGTGAAAGTTCTCTGAGTTTATACAAAATTAATTTTATTTAGTTATTTATTTATCATATATTTATTTATTTATCTAAAAATTTGCCAACGGCAGGTGAATTTACAATAGGACAAAGTTGTCCCCTACTAGGTAAATTACCTTACTCTATCCCCTAAAAGCAGACAGAATTGAAATCCAACCCACTTACAAGTCCCCATGCTAAGAAAAAACAAACAAGCAAACAGACAAACAAAAAAAAAACAAAAAGCAAAACAAAGCGAAACAAAACAAAAGTTGTTTAACATGTACAAAAATTAAGAGCATTGGAACGACGACATTTTACACAAACTAATTTAAACGAACGGATGCCGTCTTGATTGAAGACTTTGCTGAGTCTTAGATAAAAGAAGGACTTGACTTTTTTGACAAAAGACGGTAGTTCCTTTTCTGCTCTTATGTTATCTGTTAAGGCGTTCTATATGTTACAGATTCTTACGAAAAAGGAATCTCTATAGAGTGAGGTTTTAGCTTTCTTATTTTTGACAAAAAGACCAGAGGCCCCACGGGGCGAGCGCCCACTACAAAACTCAAGGAGGTCGTTTCTTTTCAGATCAGTTAAACCTAATTTGCATTTAAAGAAAAATACAATGTCTATCTTGAGTTTGACAATGTTTTTCTGGTTAACGCGCTTTCCTTTTTTCTTCTTCGTCTTCTTCTTAGGCAAATCTTGTGGTCTTTGTCGTGGTTCTGCGAGTGAGTTTTGGAAAATTTGGACACAAAAATTCTCTTGAGATCACCAGGTACATCATAAACATGGATGCTTCTCTGTTTCCTCATTAAACGTTCCATTGTCGAGTTGGAGTTGAATTTCATCGAACAGGAGAGGGAACTTTTGCTTCAGTATAAAATTTCATTTCAAATCAACTAGCACGATTTTAAGTGGTAAGGCGCAACAGAAAACTGGCGACGACACTTTGACGTTAAAATCGTGTTGTTTTGACGGGAATCGCGTCGACGTGTCGTTTTACCTCTTTTGGTGGGCTTCTTCTTTGACGGTTAGCAATGCACGGCTCTTGAGATTCGGTGACAATTGGAAACGAGGAAGGTTACTTGTAAAACCAACGTAACTCTTAGGTTAAAACTACTGTCACCCAATTTGTTTTGCCCCTCACTCACCTGACAATTTCAGTATGAGTGTTCAATGTGTCAGTGGACTGATCACATAACTGTTTTGTCCCTCAGTTGTGTAATGAGAGGAAATAATGAGATGTAAGTGGTTTTATTTCTCTCTTATACTTTTCAGGAAAGGACTTAAAGCTATTTTCGCTTTGCTTCCATTGTTGGGTGTGACGTTTTTGCTGGGTTTCTTTGTTGATTTTCATGTTGCTGTGGAATATGCCTTTGTGCTCTTGAATTCCATCCAGGTAAAGTGCAGGACGGAATGGAAGAGTTTTGTTTTCAAAACTTGTTGGTTGCTTTTCATATGACATAAATAAAGGAGTGAAAGCGATTAAGAATGAAAGATTTCCGAGAATCTTTTCTCGCAAGTGTTTGTAGGGGAAAAAATTATTAGCTCTAAAAAATTTTCATAACGAGCATAAACGAACGAGCCAGTCAACTATGGGATGTTTTCGGAGCGTAATCTTTCCATGTTATGATCCTGAGAACAGGGAGTGTTCTATATATGACTTGTTCCAGTTGGAGTGTTATAAAATACAACTCTCGGTTGTGCAGAGGATTTGGTACCCGGTTTTTGAAGTAAACTAAAATAACTGCGATATCTTTCCAATCTTAGGGCATTCTGTTCTTTATCTGTCACTGTGCACTTGATAATCAGGTAGGTGTGAAAGTCCATCTCACTCTGGTGTTTTTCTTTTTGTTCCCCTTTTTTGGATTACTGGACCAAGAGCAAATTTCGGTCAAGTGTTGCGAAGCAAAAACCGAAGTTATTACAACCATAGATTCCATGGGGACAAAAACTGCTTAGAAAGCTGAAAACTTCATTGACCAAGTCACAAGTTTTCTATTTGACTGATCCATAGGGCGGCGGAGATTTTCTTTTACTGATGACAAAGCGTAGTAGTGCGACATAAATACCATCATGGGATTTGAGTTTTCAAATTAAAAACTTTTGCACATGACAACCTCATTTCATTTTCACCTCTACTGGAATTATATTCAGCCTGGGATTGAAGTTGATCAGTGACAACTCATCTTCAAGTAAACTGAGGAGAACCCTATTCGTAAAAGCTTTCTAACTTGAAAGTAGCCGGTCACTAAATGTCTTGGCTAATCCTAAAGCTACCCATAAGAAGTTAAGGCTTTCGACCGTTACATATTAGGGAATTCACTTTTCCCTGATCACCAAAATTTTGACAGGTTATTGACAAAAATTTGAAATTCTTACCTCGACAAGTTAATTACGTATTGATTGGCTGCTATGAAGCCCTAAGTGAGGAATATCATTTCTTAGCCTTGATAAGAGATGGTCAAGTAATTTCCTCGTCTTTGGCTGATGCTCTTAGGTTCGTGACGCTATAAAGAAAATTTTGCGTAAAAAGGAGCGATGTCGTAGTTTCCAGCTGGAGCCCAAAAAAACGGCGAGGATGGTCCACAACAAGAAAGCTGTCAAGGTGGTCTTCCTGTAATTTCTCAAGGAGAAGAACATGCCCAACGTAGATTATGAACAATAAACCAACTGATAAAATTAACGATAATATTTTGTAGCATTGCGCTGTAGCACGTCATGAACGATCGTAACTCTTTTTCAAGGCAGATAGCTCTGTAGTCCGTTTCAATCGTCACTGTCGATGGTCATCCTTCTTCCTTCCTCGAATTATCTTAGAATTAGAATAATTCTCCTTCGCTAGTTGTATTTTTTGCTTAGTTGGTGTTGATTTTGTTGATGACAAGGGGTTTTTTTTGGTGCTAAAAGAGAAACCGTAATATTGTAGTTGTTTCAAGAGTTGTGTTTCGATTCGATTCGTAGAACATCCTTATTTTTGTTATGCGTGATTAGTTTCTATGGTTTTTTTCTCATCTGGGTATGGTTAATTATATGCTTGTTGTTATTTGAATTAAATTATTGTGCTGTAAATTAGTTTCTAGTTCGGTAATGTATTTAATACCTGGCAATTTAATAGACGTAATTTAAAAAATTATTATTATTGAAGTTATGTATAAGTAAACTAGTTCTTGTTTTTCATAATAGATCTCTGTACTCTTAATTCACAGCCGTGTTGCTCCATTTTCTCGCCAAATTTCTCGTACAAAGGACAAGATGAAGTGCAGTGAAAGACGTGTATTCATTTGATTTAAGTTACAGTATTAGAATCACTACTTCTACAATAAAAACGGTAGTGACGCTGGAAAAGTTTTGAATACAAGTCAATCCAACATAAAAAATCATCGTGACTACAATCTTCTTTCGATCTCTTGGAAGACAATAACCCAATATAAAGTTCAATTTTTTAGTGCTGATGTAAGGTTATTCAATACCAAAATTGTTAACAGTATTTCAAAGTGCAAACAAGAAAGTTCACCGCCTTTTTCCTTTTATTTGCTTTGGCTCTCAACACTCGAGGTAAAATGATAACATATTGATAAAAAGTGATCGGTCTATCTGTGATTGGACGAAACCAATTTTGAAGAGTGAGTTGGAGACAGACAAGGGTGGAAAGTGTTGTAACATATATATAGTTTTGTTCTAATTTATCTTGATCAACTGATATTCCCAGTGAAAAGAAACAATAAATAACAATAATAATAATACATATGATGCACGATCCTCGCAGTAGAAAGCGCTATTTAAGCAATAGCGAAAATCAGACCTGAAAAAAATCAGGCCTGTACGGGATTCGAACCACTGACCTCTGCGATACTAGTGCAGCGCTCTACCAAGTGAGCTAACAAGCCAACTGGGAGCAGGCCGTTAAGTTGATTCGTAATAAACCCGTGAAAGTGATAAATGATCAAAACCCGTGAAAGTGATCATATATTTCATTGTATCTCAATAATAATAACAATAATAATAATAATAATAATAATAATAATAAAGTACCAGACATATACAAATTAGGTTTAAGACTTAGTCAAAGTCAAAATGTGTAACTTCTTGGTTTTAGCGTCAAGGCCTGCTTGTACCTTTGGGCGATGTGTGAGGATTTAGCTGATGCTCTTATAAGGCTCTGGAATATTTCTATGATCCTCCGTTCAGCGTCAATTAGTTAGCAGTCAATTTTCTATATTCCCCTTTCATACCCTGTTGGCAAGGATTGATCCGCCCTTCGCTCCCCCTGAAAACCATGAGACCCCCAACTCCACCCCCTTCCCCATAAAAAAAAAAACTTCTCCACCCTCCAGGCAATAAAAAACCGACTGTTCCCCTACAATAAGCGAGCGTTGAAGGCCTGTGTGAAATGCAGTCTGTATCAAATCTGTAAGCAATTAAAAGAGGCTCCTCTATAATGAAGGCGAGAGACGATAAAGTCAATACCTCACTTTATTAACCAGTCAGAATGCGAGATGTGATTCTATTGTGCGACACTAACTAAAATTAGAAATTCATTTTTAAATCGACGTCTTCCCTGGCGTTGCCTTTTTGACTGCTTTAGGTCCCTGTTAAACTGAGAATGGCATCCAACAGATGTTAACAACTGTCTATGAGAAGCTTAACCGATTCACATTCATTTGCGAAGCTAGTTTTTAGTGACGTTTTATTTGCTCTTTCTCTTAATGACTCTGTAGTAATTTTGTAAGGTAAGGAAAACAATGAAAAGGAAATAAATACCGAATCGCTAAATTTGTTACAGATAATTGTTAAAGTTTGTTGGAAACCATTTTCAGTTTACCCTGATATTCCGGAAGAGTTAGAGCAAACTACCGTTTAATAAAGCCGACGATAATTTAGTCGGCAAAAGGTAGATGGACTGGACTGAGCTAAACTGGACGAGACTGAACTGGACTGGACTGGACAAGACTGGAACGGACAGAACTGACCTTGACTGGACCCAGATAGGATTTTATCAGAGAAGGATGATATCTGTCATAAAACTGCGGCTCCTAAAACGTTAATGATATTTATAGCAATTGTGAAAAGAACGTGGTACAATGTGAATAAAAAGGATCATTAGATTATCTAACAAAATTATCGAAGCTGAAATTAAGATGAAAACATTTTTCTCTCATTTTCTCCATTTCTTTACCGAGCTTACAAAACATGGCACTAATGACTTTGCCGATCCCATCAATATGCAGGACGGGAGTCGTAAATGAACTTCGTAATGGCCTAGCTTACCAGAGAGTGCCTGGGGCTCAGCTGTAGATCATCGGAACTCGGGATCTTAAAATCTGAGCGTCGATTGTTCATAAGGACTCAGGGCTGGGTTGCTCTAAACACCATCAACCTAACCCGGGGTTAGTGTAAATTTCATCTATAGAAAACAGCTTTAGGTTCGTGTGTTGTGTTTTTCGTTAGCGTCTAGTCTTGGTTAACTTTCAGTCCGGAATTAACGTTGACCCTCTTTCGTACAGCCCCGCCCAGATCTAGAATTGTTTGTCTGTCCTTAGCTCGTGAAAAGACATAAAACATCTTTCTCTATTTTCGCAAAATAGCGAACCTAACCGAGGAGGGAGAGTATTATAGAGATCAAAACAAATTTTCTCTTCATTAACCAAACTTGTATTGTGTATAAGATCTAGATGGACTTTTTCTAATGAAAACATTTCATTGAGACTCGCGTCGCATAAAAAAAACCTAGCCATTTTCTATTTATCTATAGAGATGCCCATAGTCTTTTCATCCACGTTCTCCTGGGGTTCACCAATCAATCGAGTTAGAATTTCGAATTGTATTCCAAGTAGGATATTTCGTTTGGGTTTAGAGTAGAATTTCGACTTCCCTTTACCACCTCGAGTCCTTATGCTGTAGTCGCTAACCATCTGTATTCGAGCGCTGTTCAAGCGAACGCTGTACAACAAAATCATCAGGAATTATGAGCATATCTTAAACAAACGCGTTAGCTTTTAGTATCACTGAGCACTTTTACAAGCTGTGCCCTATTTTGAATAGCCTAACAGCCATTTCCTACTTAACGGCCTGCTCCCAGTTGGCTTGTTAGCTCAATTGGTAGAGCGCTGCACTAGTATCCCAGAGGTCAGTGGTTCGAATCCCGTAGAGGCCTGATTTTTTCAGGTCTGATTTTCGCCATTGCATAAATGGCGCTCTCTACTGCGA